GGCCTGCCTGTTTTGCGCCGGCGTATCATCGAAGAGCTTCCCTTCGGCGTCACGCCCGCGGTATAGGGCCCGGCCATACCGAACGTCATATAACAACAATGGTAATGGAAACGTTCTAGCATGCGTCTGTCGCCAGGCAGTTGTGCTAGTTTTAACATTGGTGCGCGGGGACATCCAGAGAATCGAAAAGATGGTCCATCAACCAACGCGTGTCAGCAACTAGCACGATTCGTCCATATACTTCCACGTCATCTGATGTTTGCTATCTCGACGTCCCGTCCCGTTAATGACCAATAACCAGTCCCGGAGCCCCTCTCTTCGGCCCGCCCCCACCCTTGGCAGCACCCTCTCGCAGTGTCCCTCTCCCTGTCGGAGCCCTACCCTCCAGCATTGCTCCGCCCTCCGCCGGTGCCCCATTCCCCACAAGTGTCCCATCCCCAGGCGCTCCCTCGCCGTTAAGCGATGATTTCCATCCTCCGGGTAGACCCCACCCTCCGGCGAGGCCCCACCCTCCGGCGAGGCCTCCCCCCGTCCGTCGGCCGCGTGACGCCCACCCAATGGTCACTGGCCAGCCCGTCCGGCATGCCATGTCTAGGTCCGCCCACTGTCGGGGTGTGGCTGCCAGCTCATCTCCGCGGCTTGCCTTGGCATTGTTCGAAAAAGAAACAGGTGAAGTTGTTTTAACAGAGTGATGTCCTCTTTGGAGATTAACACAAAAATCGCCCTCAAAACAGCTTCCGCCAGTCGGGCAAACAGTTGTGAGGTGAAGCTATTTTGATAGGTCGGGGAAATATAATGGTTTAGTGATGATTTGGTTAGTCACGAATTATATAAGAAACGCTTGTGGGGGGCCTAGAACCTTTCAAGGGATAGAGGAGGCCTGTTTCTGAGACGAATGCGTGGCGAGCAGGGAAGAATGATCGTCGCCGAACAAGACAGGAATGTGAGTAGGTGTTGGTGCGACGCTGTTTATAGTAGGAGGGGCATGGGGGGTTAACTTATAACTTATTTAGGTTAAAATTTGAAGTTCCTGCGTCATGACCTTTGGGTCAAATAAATTCAAAAAGGTCAAATTCCAGGTTAGTTCCCCACGTACACCCAAAACCTAGATATCTGTTGTAAGCAAAAGGTTGCATGCTCGTTGAAGATCTGTGAACTGGTTCGACCACTTGTAGGGCATGTTGACCAAAATCATACAAAACTGCTTTGAGTTTTGCATTTGAATGAATGACAAAGATTATGCCAAGCATTATGTTCTTAAAAGGCAGAAGTGTTGACCAAGTGTCACTTTAGATCATTAGCCTATTATGACCTATACAAAATCCATGGAAGATATACCATGCAGTGACTGTTATCAATAAATTCGAAATGAGCACCATAAATTGCCCTATACGGCAATCCATGAAGTAATAAAACAGACTGGCTTTGACCTTGCTCTTACCTTCATACCCAACCTTTGGTCAATTCAATTTGTTCATTTTATTGTTGTGTTGCCTCAGAAAGTATCTCAGAAGTGTGTGGCTTTGTTAAACACTTCGTTATTCCATCAGATTGAACAATTCCCTAGAAGTTGACTTTGCTGAATCCATGGTCTAACTTTGACATGTCGTTGATCAGTAACTTCACAAGGTGTATCTTAACTTTTTATACCAAAAGATTTAATATCTAATTGTCTATAGTTGTACAAAATTTGGTGTGGCTACGCCGCGCCGGTCGGAAGTCATTCCGTAAAACCTTCGGGGCATCAATTTGACCCCACCCGAGCGCATGGTAAAATCAGGGGCAGGTCATGAGGTCAAGCTCAAAAGACAGAGCGAGTCGACATGAACAAGCAAGTAGAAGGCGTCATGCTAGTGATTAGTAGATAAACGCATCAAAAAATGAGGACGCCAAAGCCGATTTTGAAGTAATTCCATTCCGAGCGCCTCCATAGCATTATCATTCTCTTCACGAACGTACCTAACGCAGCTGCCTAAGCGTGCAGTACAACTTGGATCTTTGTATAAGATAGCACTCCCACTTGGAATTGCACATCTCTGTTCACTATGCTTCAAATGACATCACGTACCAGAGTTACTATGCTAAACAAGAGACTCTGGGGTCTCGAAACCTATTCAATTATTTCAAGATTTATGACGAATAACCTCAAACCAGCTTTGCGATAATCCCAGGCGAGCCAAAAATGCCAACAATTGACAGGTTACCCAGTCGCTCACTGAAACATGCATTCAGAACAAGTCCTCAATCCTATCAGAAATTGGACCTAGCCGGTGGTCTGAAGGGCGTGGCTTGTTGCGTCGTTACGCATTTATGAATCCGCTCATTCGATAACGCGAATTATATCAATGTTACGCATCAGAAAGGTGATACAGACTCTTCTTCTCCACTGTTGGATTCTGTTTGTTACCCTCCATTGGGGCTTACCTGTTAACAACATTGTGGATGTGCTCCTGTAACAGCCATGTCGCCATTTCGAGACCCGAATAAGATAAAGGCGCGCTTGTCAGTCAAGCATTTTGAGCCTCAGTGAGATGATACTTGGTGTCAATCGCATGGCTTGGGACAAATCAAGTGAAAGAGCAGGGAACTAGCAAAACGTCCAAAATCGCAGCGTCCAGTCCTCCTATCATCCAAAATCGCAACATCCAGTCTTCATCGCATTCAAAATGCGTCCAATACCGGCCCATTGGCGGAGTTCATAGCATCCAAGCTCGCAACGACCGAAATCACAAAAACCAATGTAAAATGCATCCAGCGATCACGATATCCAATGAACAAGCTTTGATTAACACTTCTTCAACCTTTGGACGTCGTGAACGTTGAATGTTATGAATATTATTTCCCCTGTCCAGGTGCATTGGACGATTTCCGGATGTTATGAAGGCTGAATGCAACGTTTTGTTTTGTTTTTCGCTGGATGCGTCGACGTTTTCATCGTGGGACGTTTTGAGCTCCGAATGTTTCAATGCGTATCCAGAGTTCAAGGGCATTCAATACAGTTTATACTTCTCCGACAATAAGTAAAGCTGCTATATCGACGGTTGTTCATGTCATGACGGTCTGCTACGTGATGCCTCCCAGCAAACTAGCTGACTTGCAAACAGTCCGGTTCAAGGATCGTACAGGTTCGGCAGTTGCGGCGGATATCGTCAAGAATCGGAGAAGAGAAACAACGCGACCTTTACCCGGGCTCCTTCCATGCAACGACTTTGGTTTACGAAGCATTATTCCATAGAAGTGGATGGCTAATTCTCTCCACCCTTCGGGCCCATGCCCCTTCACCTCCGCTTTCCTGGTTAGCTCAGGCCGGGTCGGAGATGACGATGGCTGACATTTCGCCCCCATGTCTCCCCACTTGCGCCACCCCAAGTGGCCCAGGCCGGATCGGAGATGAAGATGGCTAACACCTCGGCCCCATGCGTCCCCGCCTCCGCCACCCCAGTGAGCACAGGTCAGGTCGCCCATAGTTCAGGATAAAGGTATGCACCACAAGCTGCCTGGCAGAGGACGCGCGACCTGAAGCCGCTTGTTTAGACTTGATACATTTCTTCAAGATCTTTGGGCGATCTCTACAGCCACTGAGTGCCGTCGGTGATTTATATATTTGTTTCATTTTCAGCTTAGTGGTAAGCGCTTAATTTTCTTTGTATTGGGATATACATCAGCCTTCTCGGCACGTTAACACCATTCTAAAACTATACAATAACTCAAAAGGGGAGCTCATCGACTTAGACCCCGTGTCTTACTTCGATATACACCCAGGTGAGCTTAAGGTCAGTCACTGTGGCTAATCGAGCGAGCCAGGGAGCCGGGGTGGATGAAGCCAAATTGGGCGACAGGGGAGCGGGGGGAGGGGGGGGGGCAAGTCTGGTTCTGGTGACAGCACAGGACGTCACCAAATGGTGTCACTCGCGTTAGGCCTTGAGCTTGCATCCCCCCCCCCCCATAGTGATGCAAAAATAACGAATAAACATCACAGCCCGCTGGAGCTGAGCTGAACCTGACCCCAGCAGCGCCGCCAGCCTGTGAACGCGACCGCCATCGGCGTGTGCTGCCGCCGCCCGCAGGTGTTGTGTGACCGCAGCATCGCGGCGCGGCGCTGCCTGCTCTGACGCGGCGCATCTGGGATATTCCCGCTCCCGGTTCCCAGTGATCACGCGCGCGCCGCGTGCTCCTCGTGGCGGCGGCTGCTGCGAGCACGACCCGTGAACCGGTGAGTTGGCCCGCCCCCTGCACCAGTGCGGCCAAGCCGCTGTTTTTCACCGTCTTGCCCAATGCGAGCGCTCAAGCGTTGATGTTACGTTCTGTACTAATGGTGCCCGTTAATGGTTTGCCACAGTCACGGAAATATCATCCCTCGATCTGGCCACAAGTGCACGATGACATGTACGGAGCTGACTGAGCTGGAACCATTATGAATTCAGAGTTTGTATGCGGAGTTATTGACACGCAATATATCAGGAGGTGCTGGTTACACGACGCTACCGTTTTAGCTATTTGACGGTGCTCAAATTTAGATAAACATTGGCTATTTAGACGGTACTCGACGTTTGAAGCTGGGCTATGTTCACGGGGCACGAGGCGCTCGTGATCCGTGAACACAGCTTGGAAACTCGAGTGCTGACAATATGATCAATGTTTGCACAATAATGCTGTTTAACCAGTACCTCTTGGTATATTGAAGTTCGATAGCTTAGGATACGAACTTTCAGCTCATAACAGTGAAGAACCGGGGGCTCAAGGTTCTATCCGTTTATAAAATAGAACTTGAAATTGCATTGTAGCGATGTAGCGGAAACATCGTTTTAATTTTCTTTAGTACCAGACAGCGTGCACCTTTAAAGAGCACTGTTAAGTTGTATTCAGCGGTTACATACCAGTGTCAGTAAGCAGACCCCTAAACTCGGTGCTTCCCCTCGTCAAAATGTCCCTGCCTATGTCTGGGTGACGTCCGCGGCACCGTGAGACACCGTTCAGGAATGCGGCACACACGCACTCACCGGCGCCGGCGCCGTGGTGCTTCATGGGGAAGAAGAAGTCGTTCATCTCCTGCGTCGGAGATCTCTCTCGCATCGGCGGACTGAAGCCCCTGCAACAAAACACGCCACGTGTCGGACTTCTCGCGCGCCACCGACCAGCTCATCGGCTACGCTTCGTAAAACGAACAGAACAATGCAGTAATTAAAACTCAATAGCATGTTACTTCGCACACCTTACACACCTTACACGTTTGCCATTAAAAGTTATGAACTGTTTTTAGATCAGTAGGGGTAATCTCTGTCACCGCCAGAAGGTGCTGCCCTGTAGTTTGGGTCCTGAGATGGGTGTGTCCCGCCACCCTCACCTGCTGACTTGTCCCGAGCACTCCGCGTAAGAATACCTTACATCACACGCCCACATAAAGTGGGTGGGGCGCCAGCGATATGTACCCGGCACTTATCAAAGCTACTGCATCGGACGTAACTTTAAAAAAAAAACTGATGAGAACCGCACAGCCAGCACGTCAGCAGCCCGTCCACGGAGTCACGTGTCGGGTACGCATATGAAATTAAAATGAAGGGGTTCAAGGTCTACGCGGGAAAGATATGCGATGCGAGCACGCCTAGTGAAAAGGTGACATTGATGGTCAGTACTCGGTTCTGAACATGCAGTGTCGACACGGATGGACGCACCGGATTATGTCGATCAATGAGTTGGCGGTTTATTATCACAACGCGGATCAGTGTTGATAAACATACGGCCAAGGACGTGATTTAGACCAGTTTAGGCCTTAAGACCTAAATGCATTGCTCTTTTTTAACACGTATGAGAAAATATAGGCAAATCTGCAGATCGGTTCTGGAAGCAGGTCAGGGCATTCGCTTCTCGCCCATTCCTCCCTACTGACACCGCAACACTAATGACTCTTGCACACATCACGGGTGTAGATTAGCATGCAATGCCTAGTGACACCACTGCCATACGCTGCGAGAGCGCTGCCCGATGAGCAGCGCTGATAATGAACAACGTACAATGCTGGTGCATATCAGCAAGCGACATCGTTCACTGCTTACACACATACTACAACCTTAACCAGTACGTAGCGTAAACAAGGCATGCCATTAAATGTCTCTACGATCATGGTGGTGATGGTGGAGGGGGGGGGGGGGGCAGGGACAGGCCCGCCCGCTCCACCTCGCCCCACCCCGTCCCGCCCCGCCTCGCCCCGGCCGGGGCCTCACCTCTGGTTGCTGATGGTGTAGACGTGCGGCTAGCGGCTCGAAGTCTAGCGCGTTGAACGACAGCCCGTTGATCATGGGGTCGGGCGTGTGGCAGGTCTGCAGCGGCGGGTCGGGCCCGAGGCTGGCCGCCGGCGGCAGCGTGCCTGGCAGCGGCCCCGGCTCCGGCGACGGCGTGTACTGGTAGCGGGGCGGCGTCAGCGGCTGCCAGGCGGCCGGCTCGCAGCCGAAGTTGGGGTTGTTCGGCACGTAACTGTCCATCTCCGCTAGCGCCTGCAAGATTTATAGGACGCCTTACAACGCTGCCGCCGCCCGGAAAGCCGATACGACGCGGCCGCTTCATCAGTGCCGTGTAATTAGCGCCTATTTGGGAAGCCGGCGGCAAGCAAATTGGTTGCCAGACGACTGGGATGGAATCAGTGGTCACCATGGCGACGGAGGCTGGAGCATGGCGGCGGCGACCAACCAGCAGCCGGCGCGCGCCGGGGGAGGGGCCCGGGGAAGTGGTTTGACGGCCTCATCTTCTGCGCTCGGTGCGCTTGTCTGGCTGTACCGGTACTGGAGGTGGAGCTGGCGGCAGTGGCAACTGCATTCTCGGCACTCAGACCCCTAACCCCGGAGATTGCTGTTGCGTTTGTAAGCGCTGGTCGGATGGTGCGTGTAAGGTTTTGCAAGGGCGAGACGGTAGCTCGGCGTCCGCGGCCGCACATTCACGGGGCTTCATCTGCTTTCGCGTCCGACAATCGCGGGCATATTGCTCATGAATATCGCTGTCGCATTGTGAGTTTCTGAACGCCTTAGTCTCTAAACACTTCAGGTTGTGCAAACACTGCATAAAAATGCGCTACCAGTGTTCAAGGCGAAAAAAAGATAGGGACGATAACACTTTAGGGATTCTTATCTTATATTGCGTGACAATGACGTTTGCCATATGAATAGCTCCCAATAAATGATTTCAGAATCCAAAGGGTCCCTCGGCAGAATCACAAAATAGTTATTTGATCCCAAATGATGCTCCGCCAAAATTCAAGTAAAAATCAAAGCCTTAGAAATATGTCTTGTTCATACAAAAAACACCTTCGGAATTCGGGAAATCGTTCAACGAAACCTTTAAAACTATTCCTGGATCTTAAAAATTCGGTGTCCTGGAACGAAGAGTCTGACTCCTACCATACATTTCTGAGGCATTATGTGTTGGTTGATGCGGTTATTTAGCTTAAGCCCGGCACTTTGAGGTGGTCTAAGCCGGCTGTTTTTTTGCCAGGTTATACGTGAAACGTGCTGACTACACAATTTTCTCATGACACGTGTTTTAAGAAACACCTCTGTGGTTTTCAAAATTAATTTAAATCATGTAGACTGACATGGTTCGAGCTAGTAAGCACGTGACCGTGGGTGAAAGTTTCAATACGTTGGGAGGACTGAGCCCTCTATCAACATTTCTGGACTTTGACGCGGAATCCGTGTGCATGCAATCCATCCAATCCAAGGTGGAAAAATTACTTCAAATCCAAAAAGTTTCTATCGTTTCAAAGAACGTCCACTGCATATCCCGATGCACAAGCAACCCTGAGATGCGCGGTAAGCAACGGGCAGGTTTGTATATAAGTGAAACGGCTAAATCAGAAGCAGCAACGTTTGTGGTATCCACATACAAATTTAAACGAAGAAAAGAAATGCTACAGACAATTTATTGGATTATTTTTGGACAATTCGATTTGCTTTAAAGGGTGATCCACATTTGGACGGGGTTTGTTCTGAACATGCCATCTTGAAGAGCATTCGGTGCAGTCCGCAGCCCTGTCCTTTTTAAGACCTAAACCTTTTTAGTTCTTAAGCTACATGCCCGCGAAGATGTGCAGACTTTTTCGGGAAGGCTATTTCAAGGTCACCCAGTCAGTCATCCATGACGCCATAATGAGGTCATTAAAATCCGGCTATTCCGTTAGCCACGCGGCGAACAAAAGCGATATAATTGTCGAGTCGTTCACATCTGGCCTTCGTGAGCACGATGTCCTGATATGACGGCCAAAAATTGTCTCTCAATCAATATTTTGCAAGGTACGATGACGTATTCAATCACGCATTGTGGAACATGTTTACGAAACAGAGAAACTGTGTTGTCTAGAGCAGTCGTCTCCACCTAGAAGTGTACGAATGTTGTGAAGTGCGCATATTTCATCAAATCTCATGTTTGCTTCAATATTTTCAAATGTAATCATTCCTTTTCAAGGGAGTTTCCCACCTTTGCGGCATATTACAGAAGATTCTTTAGTGAAATCTCAGCACCAGTTAGTTTACCAATAGCACTGAGTTTTGCCACAGCAGCACCACTGAGACATATTAAGGACATCAATTGTAACTATTTTCGAGTCGTGCAAATTACGCTGTCCAATGTTTTTTTTTAACAAGGCTGCACTTCTTCCCTGCAGTCGTAACCGCCATCGTCATGACAACCTCCTTGCACACCTCTACTGTTGCAAATAAAAGAAGGTATGTAATGTTTGTTTGCCCCAGCGACAATGATCTGATACCGAGAAGCGCCTGGTATGAACTTTAAACCAGTGCGTCACTTTGGGCCATGTGATGTTCCCATTCCTTAAACCAAGGTACGCCTCGAATAGAGCCACCGTGGTAAGCGCGATAGGAGAGAAATCAAAGTCATAGCATAACGAATTGACGAATTCGCGGCATAATAAGTTCTTTTTAAAAACTTTTTAAGCAAGGTATCATGCTTTCGTAGCATTTGTTACACTAGCATTTTAGCACCTTGGTGTTTTGGCACCAAATATTACAGAACACACACACTGGAAAGAGCAAGACAAATGAAATGCATTACTTTCATAGTGGTGAGCAGGGAGTCAAATGAAATTTCTCCCTCGGGGTCAGCTGCTTCAAGTCAAAATTCTAAGCTGTTCGGAAGGATTTAGAAAAAACTGGTATTACTAAGCAAATCGCAAGCATTTGATGTAGCAATAAGTGGAAAGTACCAAAGCGGTGATGCTCTCTTTAAAACATTTCCACGAACCAAACGCTTATTATCACCTCTTGAAAAAGGTTATGGTGTGCCGAAGTAAGCGTTTTGGCGACCCTCCACCGAGGGAGCATACCCAGGCCATGGTGGAAGGGGGGGGGAGGGGCATTGTAATGCCCATGAAATTTCGTCCTCTCGGAAAGGAATATTTGGGACTCGTTGTTGTGTCCCTGGAATTTGATATCTCCTGAAAGTTAAGGCTTGGAGGGTTCCAAAATACAGGTTCCGGAGCCTCTTCGTCATGACGTTTTGTCACCCTTGGGGAACCCCAAACCTTATGGCTGACTCGAGAGGTTACCAGTGAAAGCGATGTAATGACCGTGCATTGCCGGGTAGCATCTTGCGACGGCCCAAAAATGACCGGGTGGAGTTATTTCACTGATTTCCGAAAATGTCAAGTGTTAAGAATTCAATTATCACCTGTAAGTTGCACACCACTCCGATCCTATAACACAGCCCTACCTTGCCCGTTAAATGACCCGATCTGCTGGCCGGACTTGGCTCCCAAGCATTGACCACAGAGACTCCCTTAAGACTGGTGCTCCCCAGAGCGAGCTGGCGCGCGTCGCCAGCCCACGGACAGAGCCATGCCTGTGTGTGTGTGTGGCGGCCCAGACGCCTGAGCTGGGTCAGCCACACCTCAGGTAATCCGTGCGTGCAACTGTCAGCAGCTGCTGGCAGGGTTGGCGCGGCTCAGCGCCCGCCGGCAGCTGCTGGCAGGGCTGGCGCAGCTCAGCGCCCACCAGCAGCTGCCCGCCAGGGCTGACGCAGCTCAGCGCCCGCCGGCAGTTGCTGGCGGGGCTGGCGTAGCTCAGCGCCCGCCGGCAGCTCGGCCTCCCCCATGGCCCCTTCGCCTGGCCATTCCACTCCAGCAGCCTGCCGTCGTCCCGCTGATCGAGCACTCCCCCACCTGCCGTCGTCCCGCTGATCGGGCACTCCCACACCTGCTGTCGTCCCGCTGATCGGGCACTCCCACACCTGCTGTCGTCCCGCTGACCGGGCATTCCCACACCTGCTGTCGTCGCGCTGATCGGGCACTCCCACATCTGCCGTCGTCCCGCTGATCGAGCACTCCCACACCTGCTGTCGTCCCGCTGATCGGGCACTCCCACACCTGCTGTCGTCCCGCTGACCAGTCTTTTCCACACCCGCCCACAACACACGCGCTTTTATCGGCTTTGGTCCGATAACCGTCAGTTGCAGGGGAAACTGTTCAAATCCTGAACCCAATCAACCGTATGCAACCAAGAAATTCAGATCAACAACAATTCTGGTCAGTAGTAGCGAAACCAAACGTTTGTGTCAGGTCAGGTCTTTCAAAATGGCCCGTAAGTTTGGATACGGCGGCGTTTTTACGTCGTCGTCACGTATGAATTTGCTGTTTACATTCGGAAATTTGGTCCCATGGGCCAAATAATAAAAAACTGCCACCGTCAAATAACGAACAGGTATCTGATTACGAAACAAAACTGCTTCGAGGATACAATCTACCGACTAAGTGTATAGACTCGACCACACATGATTAGCTTTGCTTCTGTTTACCTTGGGTTGCGTGCAGTTCAGGTTTGGTATCAAATTAGGCCCTTGCCTAATAATGCGCGCATGAAAAAGTCTTTTGAACACCAAAGGTGACCGTGCGGGTCACGTGCAATGGGTAATATATAGTTAATTCCCAGCCGCCTTAACCAAATTGCAAACTGGCTGAAAATGGCGGGGGGGGGGCTTGGTCATGCCTAACAGTCGGACCTCCTCCCCACATATTTACCTTGGGCGGGGGGGGGGGGAGCTCGGTCATACCTGAGAGTCTAACCTCCTCCCGACACATTTATCTTGGAGGGGGGGGGGGGGGGGGCTCTGTCATGCCTGAGAATGTGAACTCCCCACACATTTACCTTTAGGGGGAAGGCTCGGTCATGCCTAAAAGTTTGACTTCCTCCTCACACATATTTACGTTGAAGGGGAGTGATTCTCAGCCGTGGCTGAGGGTCTGAG